TGCATGCCACGAAGGCGCTGCACCGAGGGGTGACCAAGGCGGTGGTGCCACAGGAGGGTCTGGTGCGACAAAGCGCGACACTCGCAGGGGGCCGTCGGCTGACCTGACGCAGACGCAGACGCAGCTACCTGAGGGGACTCAGTGGTCAGGGTGTACAGACTCGAGCCAGGCGCACGGGTAAACGTGGCCAGATGTCGGCCGGTCCGAGCACACGTACAGTGAGTCACTCGCTGACTCGCAGGAGTGAACTGGTGCACCCCCCTATCCTGGAGGTCAGCTCCACTCACCAAGTTCATAGAGAACGAGGGGAGGTAAAGACCTGACAGCAAGCCAGACGGGGCGGCCGGACACGGTAGAACCGTGGAGTAGTGGGCAAGGACCGGACCCCCGGAGGGGTCCGCCAGGGAGACTGGAACCGGCCGACTAAGCGGCGTGAGTGTGGTACAGTCGCGAAAGAAGGAGCGGGAAGCACCTGAGTCCAGCGTGAAGGTGTACAAGGCCGCAGCAGGCGCAGACCCAGAGAGAGCAGACTCACCAGCACCTGGAGCAGGAGACGTACCGGCACCTAGAGCAGCAGCCTCACCAGGACCCAGAGGAGGAGACGCACGAGCACCTAGGGCAGCAGCCTCACCAGTACCGGGAGCAGCAGGCGCTATACCAGGGTCAGGCGGGACGCACAGGTAACAGGCACGGTCAACACTAGTAGGTAATGCATACATGGCAGTGAGAATAGCATCATAGTCAGGAGCAAAGATATCTACCCTCCGTCCAAGCAGCTCCAGCCAGTCGGGGAGCTCAGCCTCGTCTCCAAACACTGTACGCCAGTCGTCGCTCAGACGGGTGAAGCAGCGGGACTGTGTGTGACCAAGCGTCCCGCAAGGCTGACCAACCCGATCACCTGTGCGAATGACGTACTGGCAGCGAACTGTACGCGTAGACCTGCTACACTGAGCGTACCACTCGTGGAGCTGCCGGGACGTAAGTGTCTCGCGAGGACGCCGCTGCAGCTGCAGCTGGCCACTGCCGGACGCTCCCAACTGACCAGCTCCAGGGGGACAGCTACGACTGCTACCGCGACAACCCCAGCTAGTATACCACTCACTAAGCTGCTGGGGCGTGAGAGACTCTCGCGAACGTCGCTGGGGCTGCATCTGGCCACCGGCCAGTAGCAGTAGCAGCAGCAGTAGCGCGGGCAGGGCAGGCGCGGCAGGCCGACAGGCAGGCAGGCCGGCAGGCAGACAGACAGACAGGCAGGCAGGCAGGCCGGCAGGCCGGCAGGCAGGCAAGCAGGCAGGCCGGCAGGCAGGCAAGCAGACAGGCAGGCCGGCAGGCTGGCAGGCAGGCGCTCACCAAAGGCTGGAAGAGCAGGCGCTCGCCGGGCGAGCAGGGCCGGCGCTCAACGGGCGGCGGCGGAGTAGGCGCAGGACAGCGGCGACGTCGGGGCCGCAACACCCGGTGCAGAGTAGGGCCGAAGCAGCTGCAGGGCGGGGCCGCTTCAGCGGCAGGTCGGGGCCGTGGCAGCTGCGGGGCGGGGCCGTATCAGCGGCAGGTCGGGGCCGAGGCAGAGGGACGCGCGCGGCTCGGCGCGGGCTGCGCTGACAGCGCGCTGGGCTGCTGCAGGCCGCGCCTGCCTGTCTGCCTGCCTGCCGGCCTGCCTGCCTGCCTGCCTGCCTGTCTGCCTGCCTGCCTGCCGGCCTGCCTGTCTGCCTGCCTGCGCGGGCTGCGCGCTGCCGCAGCGGGCTGCGCGCGGCTCGGTGCGGGCTGCGCGCGGCTGCAGCGGGCTGCGCGCGGCTCGGTGCGGGCTGCGCGCGGCTGCAGCGGACTGCACGCGGCTCTGTGCGGGCTGCGCGCGGCTGCAGCGGGCTGCGCGCGGCTGCAGGGGGCTGCGCGCGGCTGCACGGGGCTGCGCGCGGCTGCAGGGGGCTGCGCGCGGCTCGGTGCGGGCTGCGCAGGCCTGAAGGGCGTGTAGGGGCGGTGCGCTGGCCTTACGGCTAGGGGCAGCGCGCTGGCCTAGGGCAGCAGGAGGCAGCGCTAGGGCTGCTGGACGGCTCGCGTAGTGCAGCACGTCACAAGGCAAGGCAAGGCAGGCAGGTACGTGGGGTAGCGCGGTAACCGCAGTGGTAGGTGGGCCCGAAAAAAACGGTCCTACGGACCTTAGTGCTCTGAAACCATGTTAGAATCTGGCAGCAGGAATGATGAACTAACAGCATGCAGGAGTACAAGTAGGAAACCCTAATTTGGTTGTACCCCATATGGGCTACCCCACTATAGCCTAGACAATATGCAGCATACATGTTTAGGGTTTTTAGGGTGGGAAACGGGAGCCGCGGTAGTTGTGAAAGTAGCAGGAGGTCAGCAGTGAAAGAGAGCAAAACGAGAGAGAAATGACGAAAGCCTAAATACGAGACTGCAAACCGAGAACATACCTTGTATGCGTCATCATAATCACTCAAATTTTGAGGTACAAACTACGGGAGCTATTGAGCAAACTAGTGCGTAAGAATCAGAAACTATGATTAAGTGAACGGGAAGATAGGAATAGATGAAGAAATAGGAGAGATGTGGAAGAGAGTACGAAATGCAAGATAAGGAGAACACCTTGTACGTAGTATGCAGTAGTTGCAATCACACAATTTCTTCTGATTGGAATGATGAAATGAAGACAGGTTTCAGGGAAGGGGAGGGAAAACGGGGGAGGGGAGAGGGAGGGGGGGGGTGGGGGTAAGATGGGGACAAACAGGAAGGGAAAGAAAAGCAATGAGATGATTACAGTTATGAACGGACCAACAGGAAAAATAGGCTTTACGCGACGGTACCGCGTCAGATAGGAGGATAGGACGAATCTAATCAGAGGAAGAGGAAAAAGAAAGTGAACTAAGCTATGTAAATACAATGTATTAAGAAGGCAACCGACGAAACGAAGTAAGGGTGAAGAACAGAAGAAATAAATGATCGATAATACAGGAAGAAACGAAGAACAAGACCTAAAACATACAAGAAATTCTTGAAGTCTTTACAAAGGGTCTAGATCTAAGGTTCAACAACTTGCATTTCTTAAAACGGTGAGGATACTAGATTACGAAATGTTAGTCTAGTTAGTAGTACTCAAATTCTAGGTGACATCTTAGGTATGATCTCACCTTACGTAGGTAGGTGGAGCGTGACTAGCACCAAGCAGCAAGAAGCAGAGAGAGAGGAAAAGGAATATGCAAATCCTAAGGTAGTGAGCAATTCGTCGCGTTGTTATTCGTCGTGTTGTTATTTGTTGCGTCGCATGGACAACAGCGGTGGGGCAGTCGGTAGGATTTTCGTGAAGAATCGAAAGCTTCAGGTTCGAACCTATGCGAAGCGTTTTGCACATTTCTGAGTTTCATACTCAGTATTGAAAGTCTACTTTGAAAGGTAATAATGCAAAACTAGATCAATACATAGTAATATAAGTTGATAAAAACAAGTTATTCGTGCAAAATGCTTCGCAACCCTAAGACGATTTCGTCGCCTCTTGTTTTTTTTTTTTTTTTTGGTTTTTTTTTTTTCGAAGTTTCATGGTTTCGTATTTCTACAACAACTTGATCTACTTGGAACTGTTAATATTACAAACCTTGCACTGAATCATGTTCGTAGTTACAACCATAGTTACAATTGCGCTCGAGAACTTCGCACTGAATTACTGATGCATCTTCAATTATTGGTCTTTCGCCAAGAACGCTGATTGTGTGTGCGGTAATTCTCGCGCTTCGATAATGCTTGTCAGGTCTGAATTTCCACTGCACTCTAGAATGCTTTATCCACAAATCACTAACTTCAGCGAGTTCCGCCATTCACTCAAGGAAAATCTCTAGTCGTCGCCACTCAATCGATGTTCCGCCGTGACGGTTCTTACCTGTGAGACACTACTTCCTGCCTTTTCCATCTTGGTTCTTCCTCGCTGGCGCTTTCTGCTCCCTAGCTGTCCTTGGTGGCTCCCTCGCTCTCTCCGAGGGAGTCCCTACTCGCTGCCTTCTGCTCCTTCCCTGCTCGCTGCACGCTCTCTCCCCTCTTTGCCCAAATTTCTCCCATGCGCGCTGCGGAATTGCTCTAGCATTTCTTGCATCGTCAATCGGCGTCGCGCTGCATTTCGAGCTCGCAATTCCTTGCTTCCCTTCCCGCTGCGCCGTCGCTCTCGCGATTCTCTCACCATCGCTCCGCATCTATCTGCTGCGGCCGCTCCCGCTCTCACCATCTTGTTTCTCCCCTTCACTCACACCCTTGCCTCATGTATTGCTCCGAGCATGCCGTACCGCTCCCACCCTTGCTGCCCGCTCACTATTCCACGCTGCCCTTTCACTCTCTATTTGTGCGCCTCACTCTACAGTTGCCTTCCTCGCCAGAGTACTGTTGACCTTTGGCCATCGCTGCACGCCCGGAATCCGAAAGCGGCTCCGCTCTTCCTCGCCTGTTGCTCCCCTGCTCGGTGCGGAAGCGACGCTCTTGCGATTTCCGCACCGTCTCTCGGCATCGTGCTGCATTTTCGTGAGCTCCCTCGCTCTCTCGCTTCTTTCTTCCAATCGCGCTGCGGACGCTGCGGAATCCAACGCCGCTTCGCATCTCGCCGCTCCCACTCTTGCGATCCCGCACAGTCGCTCCGCAACTCGCTGGAATCGCTCCCGTACTGCCCTTCCGCTCCACTCCCGTGCTACCCTGCGTATTGCACCTGCCTTACCGGTCGGTCCGTGCTCCCTGTTTTTCGCTCCCTCCCCCCTCTCAAACCTTCCGCTCTCACTCTCTCAAACCCTCTCTCAAACCATTGATCAATGGTTCCGCGCCTTCCCTACGTGCTCGCTTCCGCGCCTTCCCTACGTGCTCGCTTCCGCGCCTTCCCTACGTGCTCGCTTCCCCGCCTTCCCTACGTGCTCGCTTCCGCACCTTCCCTACGTGCTCGCTTCCCCGCCTTCCCTACGTGCTCTATAACACCTCGCTACCCACTGGGTCAAAACGAGGGTGTTATTTGGCGCAGCGGAATGCCCATTAACACTCAGCCCACAGGCGTTACATGCTCGCTTCCGCGCCTTCCCTACGTGCTCGCTTCCGCGCCTTCCCCACGTGCTCGCTTCCCCGCCTTCCCTACGTGCTCGCTTCCGCGCCTTCCCTACGTGCTCGCTTCCCCGCCTTCCCTACGTGCTCGCTTCCCCGCCTTCCCTACGTGCTCGCTTCCCCGCCTTCCCTACGTGCTCGCTTCTGCGCCTTCCTGCGCTCTGCCATCCGCTCCTTCCCTGCTCGCTGCCTTACGCTCTCTCCCCTCCCTGCCCTTCCACTGTCTACCACTCGCTGCCCTTCCTCTCTCTCCCCCTCGTTGCCCTGCCTCTCTCTCCCCCTCGTTGCCCTCCCGCTCTCTCCCCCTCGTTACCCTGCCTCTCTCTCCCCCTCGTTGCCCTCCCGCTCTCTCCCCCTCGTTGCCATTCCTCTCTCTCCCCCTCGTTGACCTTCCTCTCTCTCCCCCTCGTTGCCATTCCTCTCTCTCCCCCTCGTTGCCCTTCCGCTCTCTCATGCTACGCTGCCCTTCTGCTCCTTCCCTGCTCCCTGCCCACGCTCCCTCCTCCCCCCCTGTTTTAGGCCTCCACCTCCCTGCTCTACCATCTCTCCTCCCTCCCTGCTTTTTGCTCTCTCCTCCCTCCCTGCTTTACGCTCTCTCTCCCCTCTCTGCCCTTCCGGGTTCTCCCTGCGCTCTGCCTTCCGCTCTCTCCCTGCTTCCTGCTCTTCCGCTTTCACCCCCCTCGCTGCCCTTCAGCTCTCTTCCTACTCGCTGCTTTCCGCCCTCTTCCCCCCCGTTTTCCTTCCGCTCCATCCCCACTTGCTTCCCTTCCGCTCTCTCCCACCCCGCTGCTTTTCCTCTCTCCCCCATCGCTTCCCTTCCGCTCTCTCCCTGCATTCTTCCTCCACTATCGACATACTCCCTGCCTTAAGCTCTCACCGTCGAAACCTGTCAGTCACTGTGTATAAAGAATGACCACATAGGCGCACATAGGCCTCGGAAGCGAGGAGTTGAGGCCAGATGGCTGCTCCATTCGCGGAGCATCTGGATGGCGTAACGGCCTCATGGATCCAACATGTTGCTTGGGTACAAACTTCCCACTGCTAACACGCCCCAAACCTCTTGCACAACTTTCTCATGCCTGCAGCGCGCAGCCTCGCCCTCCCCTCGCCAGTCGTCCGTCGCTCGTCGGCACCGCCATGGCGCAGTACGGGCCGCGTTCCGCCCTTCAAGCTGGCGTCGCCGTGATCCTCGCTGGCCTCGTTGCGCTCACTCTCCTCGCACGCACCTGCAGCGCTGAATACGGTGACTCAGTGGTGGATTTCACGGAATTCAGTGGCAATTCAGAGCGTTTCAGGGAACGTGTTTATTATAAGCAGTCTGCGTGTGGAAACATGGACCGGAGCAGGTTCTCCACTGGGATCACAGTCCGCATGTTTATCCTGTGGGACATTTTCCATTCAGCGGATATCCAGTGCGGCAACATCACCTTCTATTCCAGCCCAAGCTGCCAAGGAGATCCCTTCGTGACCCACCTGCGTGAACCGCCGCCGGGAAGCACTACTCTCATGTGAGTTCCCAGAGGTCGAACCACTGTCGAACGTACATCGCCGCCCTTTGAAAGCAGTTGGACGGCTGGTTTTGGTTCTCTTGTTGCAGATCTCTGGCCTCTCCTCCTTCCACCTCTCTCTCTGCTCCCTGTGACATCCCTCTTTCCCCTCTGCTCCCTGTCACCACCCTCTTTCCCCTCTGCTCCCTGTCACCACCCTCTTTCCCCTCTGCTCCCTGTCACCACCCTCTTTCCTCTCTGCTCCCTGTCACCACCCTCTTTCCTCTCTGCTCCCTGTCACCACCCTCTTTCCTCTCTGCTCACCTGTGTTCCCCTGCCGCCGCCATGCCCTCGCTGCTGTTCTCAGGTGGCTCCCTACTGCCGAGCTGCCAGCGTCAATGAGATGCAACAAGGGTGAGATTGAGATTGCACGCCTGGCCTCTAGGCATTCTCTTCCCCAGTCCCTCACCAACACTGCACTGCACCGTGCTTCATACGTATGAGTCCTCATAGCCTGCCACGTGGTTCGGTCTGGTACGGTGTTCTGTAGTGTGGTGCGTCATGGAATGAGATGTCTCCAATGCTGATGGTGGGGTGCATAAGGAACGCCTGTGTGCCGTGCTGGAACGCATCCGCCCGTGTGCCGTTTCTACATCTTCCTTTTGTCCCTCTTTCTTCCCTCTCTCTTTCTCACCGTTTTCTCACACTTTCATCTCACCCTCTCACCTCTCCCTCGTCCATCTCGACCTTCTCACACACTGCCTTCTTCTCACCATTCTCAACCTCTTACTTCTCACCCTATTGCTTCTCACCCTCTAGCCTCTCCTCTTCTCTACGCTCTTTCCTCCCTCTGCTCACGTTGCTGCTCGTGTGCTCAAGGGAGTTGATCCTCCCTCTTACGCACATGCGTGGGAGAGGTCTTATGCATCTTGTCAACAATTAGGAGAGGCCGCATGCTTCTCATGCACTCCACGTTATTCCATTCAACCACCCAAGCTTGCTTCCCTCGTGTCTTTCTCGCCCCTGCCCTGCTGTCTACAGCGCCCCCACCCTCCTGTGACACCATTAAGTGTCCGGTCGACTCCACCTGCAATGCTGCTGCCGACCCGCCCTGCACCTGCAATGTCGGCCTCGTGTTGAAAGACGGCCAGTGTGTCGGTGAGCCTCGCCCTTCTCTCATTATTCTCTCCCTCTCCCTTCTCTCCCTCTTCCTTCTCTCTCTCTCCCTTCTCTCCCTCTTCCTTCTCTCCCTCTTCCTTCTCTCTCTCTTTCTTCTCTCACCATTTTCTCCCTCTCCCTTCTCAAGCAGTCCTTCATTGATAGGTTCATAAGCGTACAAGCATGAATGCTCTTCACTGATCCAATTAGGCTGATACCCATTCCTTCCCTCCACCACCCATGGCAGCCGCAGACCCTTGTCAGACGGGCTCTCTGAAGTGCGCCAGAAACTCAAAGTGTGTTGTGAAGAACGGGCAGGGGATTTGCCTGTGTGATGCTGGCTACACCAAGACGAGCGCCCTCTGCACTGGTGAGCTCACCAAGGGCATTGCTTCAAATGTTGGCGAACAAAGAGATCGTGTTGCCACTTGGTCAAATGCTGGTCTCGCGGCCACATGCTGGTCACCCGGTTCTTCAGGGGCCATGCATGGGATCACAGTGCTTTGGTGTAGGTCGAGCCTGAGAGCTTATGGGGGTTCTGTGGTATCCTCGTGACCCTCGTCTTTCCAATGTACGCATACTTATTCCTTCTACCTGCTGCTACCCTCAACCTCATGCTCTTCCTCCTCTCCCTCCCTCCACCTCCCACCCACGCCAGCCATGTGCAAGCCTTCCTGCCCTGCTAATGCCCAGTGCATTGTGTTGGGAGGAAAGCCAGTGTGTCAGTGCAAGAAAGGTTTCAAAATGGGGAAGATGAATTGCACACGTAAGAGACAGGGAGGGATTTCCGTCTTGTGCAAACCAGTTTGACTTCTACTGTCTGCCCCTTCCACATGCACCCATGAATTTCCCGCATGACCCATCTCACTGCAAACCCTCCAACTCTTTCCCACTTATTCTCCAAACTCTTTCTTCACTTCCAAACCTCTACCCACCGCATGTGGCAGCTGTATGCAATACTGCCTGCCCTGCTAATGCGGAGTGCAAGGAGGTGAAAGGGAATTCGGCATGTCAGTGCAAGGCAGGGTTCCGAATGGCAGATAACAAGTGCTCACGTGAGTTTCAAGACACATGCACCTCCACCACCACTTCAGCTTCTAAGCTAGTGCACTCATGATCAACATGGCTGTCGCATTTTTGTCATCGACAATTGCCGGTACATTCATCCAGCTCATTTTTGTCATCTAGTTTGTACAACCCCATCTCTTTCCCACTCATTGAATTACACTCTTCCATCTGTCGCGCTCTCCCCATCAAATATGGCAGCCATATGCAAGGGTGGCTGCCCTGCTAATTCCCAATGCAAGGTCGTGAATGGAAAGGCGACATGCCAGTGCAAGGCGGGGTTTCAAATGGATTATAGCAACAAGTGCACTTGTAAGGAATAGAAGGGTATAGAGAGAGGGAGAGGGAGAGGGATAGGAAGTGGGAGAAGGAGACGCAGAGGCAGGAGCAGAGGGACGGCTAGAAGGAGGGTATCTTCCCTTCCCTACCTCTTCGCTGAGTGTTGTTATCATTTGCTTCTCACTACCGTATTATCACCCGACATGCTTATCACCCCACGAACTTTGTCTCCACCATCCATATTTTTTTCTCCCCTTGCTGATCATACCGTTTCATCCTCAATCTCATGTCACTTCAATCCCGTTGAATCATGTCTACACTGTGGCCTGCGCTCCCGTTTGCCCTCTCATTGCAACTCAGAGAGCTGATCATGCTCACAACAAAGAAGTTGGAGGACAAGGGAAGGAGGCGCAAGCTGGCAGCTTCAGCGGGACATGCAATACGTGGGTGCTGGTGTTGCAGGGGTGTAAGCAACTGCACATGAGATCAATTCTTGGACCGAGTGGGCTTGTTAAGGGAGGGAGAGGGGGGTTCATCTCTGTACTGTATTGAACACTGTAGGCATGTAAGTTACATGGAAGTGTTTTCCTTGTTGGAGAGAATGGGTTTCGAAATTTGACACTTACGGTAGCTGGGTTGCAAACCATGAAAGCGTAGTGTTTTCCTCGCCAGGCACCAAAACCTCTTATCGGGCTTCAAACCGCACTTCAAGCCAAAACCTTTTTTTTTTCTTGTAAATGGCAGACCCAACCCAACGCTTCAAAAACAGCTCCACTGAAGGCACATAGAAGTGTCCACCTCCCACCCTCCCCAAGACCAGCGGCGGCAACCCGCCCTCCCCTAATTGGTAGTCGTACATCACGACATTCAGTGCCCCAGGACTTGTGTGTCAGAAGAGTGAGCAAGAAATGAGTATATTGAACAAAGAATTGGGTACAAATGCTATGTCAAAAAGAGTAAGCGAGAATGATGTATTGAGCAGAAATATGGGTACAAGTACTAACCCTAATTTGGGTTGTACCCCTTATAGGCTACCCCACTACAGCCTACACAGCACAAGCATCATTGCAGTTTGACACACCCACATAGGCAAAGTGGGGGAGAAGCAGTGGTCACAAGACCAGTCAAGAAAAGCAAAGCAAGCTCAGGGTGGATCATGAAGTCACCACACATTCTGAGCACAAGCAAATGGCCACAAGGCCAGTTCACATGCAGAGTTATAAAAGAGAGCACACAGTATAATGATCACTACCTAGCAAAAGTAAGCATGCAAGTATATATATAGATCACAGTACAAGCAAAGTCACGATGTGAGGAAGTGAGACGAAGCAGGCACAAGGCCTAAAGCAGTACAGAAACGCTGATGATCACCAGGCGGAAGTGCCTTGGTGAATATATCAGCAGTGTTGGCCCGAGTGGCCACGTAAGCAAGACGAAGCTGACCACGCTGCTGTAACTATCGAGCAAGGAAGCAAGGCAGAGCGATTTGCTTTGTTTTGTGCTCCAGTCTGTGCTCCTGACACAAGGCAATGGCGGCCTTGTTGTCTACGTACAGAACTGGAGGAGAACGAGGCTGCTCTCCCAAGTCGGTCAGCAGGTAGGTGAGTCAGCGTAACTCCTGTGCAGCCATGGCTCCTGCGTATATTTTAGCCTCACAACTGGAGCTGAGAACAGAAGACAAGCGGGTAGACCGCCAAGAAATAGAGCCGGAGCCAAGGCTGAACGTGTAACCCTGTGACGACCGCTGCGTAGCCAGGTCGTCAACCCAAGACGCGTCTGAGTGTCCAGTAAGGACAACTGGACCCTGCCCTCCAAGCATGAGCCCCATGCCCGATGTACTGCACAAGTAATGCAACACTCTCTTCGCAGCATGCCAGTGC